CCTTAGTCAGCAACCAGAATGTACTGTGGACAATTAGAGAAGCAACACTGAGTTGACTACACGCCAGCAGTTCCAAAGGATGTCACAGCGCACAGGGTCATGCCCCTTTCTTCCCGGCTAGGCCTGTGGTGAAAGCAGAAATCTGGACACAACGGGAACACACTTGCTTCTTCAGAGCGGTATTCTCTAAAAATTTCATATGACGTCTTCATCTTTTATAGAGGGTCGGTGTTTCAAACATCCGCTTGAAGAATACTTCTCACTGTTAATTAAGTTATCTAGCATTTCTAATAGAAGACCGTGTGAAGTACGTGCATCCTGGAATGTTCTGCCAGGAAAACGTTTCTCTTTCCAGATAAATTTGGTAGCTCTCTTTCTCTCATGTAACGACAACTACCTAATCTGACATGTGCTTGCTTTAAACTGTCAGGCAACTCAGAGCTAAACTGACGTCAGTCTGTGAGTCATGGACTAAATCCCCTGGCTCCTCTCACTCTCCATTGTTCTGTTCACTGCTGCTGAGGTCCTCTCTTGTCCTGAGTTCAATTTCATTACCCTCCTTAAAGTCTTTTTTGGACAAAAGGGGCCCACGCTCTGGATCAGAACGTGACCATGCACGCACAGTCCACACCCGCGCACGCACAGATGCACGTACACACACAGTACTGTGGCACTGGGTGCCCCACAGAGTTGCCTTTTAAAACAACCTAAGGAAAAACTGCAGAGCACTGCTGCTGACAGACAGACCTGCAGGAAAGCAAGCACCACTCATGGGGGCCTGGAGCGGCTGTCTTAAATGTCCTGGTGCATCTGGTGAGCGCATGACAACCTCAGCCTGAGAGGGGTGTCAGCCTCGCTGTAATGGAAATGTTGCCATTGTCTTTTGCTCAGACTCTGAACTTGTGAAGTCTGTGAGGCCACCACCTCAACTGACTTTAACCTCTACTCAGGCACTGGAAATCCAGCTGTGGGGGTTGCACTGAACTCTTTAAGCGCTTTGTGAGGGTGGACCCTAGGTTTGGGTCTCAAATGCTAGACCCCAAAGAACACTTCCTAAAATGACAGGTTTCAGCATAAAAAGAGTTTCGGTTGGCTTTTTATGTGTGAATGAGTGTCATGCCCTGTTGCATTTTTAGTCATAGAAAATGTTGTTTTGAAAAGAGGGAAATGTCATATAAAGAAGTTAGTCTAATTCAAGAAGATCTATGAACAATTAAAAAAAAAAATCAAGCAATTATCCCTGGCAGAAGACAGTGTTGAACCGTTAAGCACCCTTACTGCTTTTTCTTATGAAAGAAAAAGAACTAGAGGCAGGATTGAAAATGAGCAATATTTACACTTACCCAACAGTTTTTAACAAACACTTCTAAGGTGCTCTGCAAAGAAATATAAGTAGCCCGGTTGTAGGAGGAAACAGAGATTAGACGCTCTGAAATGATTTGATCAGCGTCAACAGCAGTCATGACGTGGTGTATGATTCTAGCTATAATCCCAGCAGTCTGGGAGTCTGGGAGGTGGGAAGGATCACCTGAGGTTAGGAGTTCAAGACCAGCCTCAGCAAAAATGAGACCCCTGGCTCTACTAAAAGTAGAAAAATTAGCTGGAAACAGTGGTGTGCACCTAAAAGTTAGTAGTCCCAGGGACTCGGGTGTCTGAGTCCAGCAGTTTGATGTTGCAATGAGCTCTGATGCTGCCACTGCACCCTGGCTAGGGCAACAGAGTGGAAACTCTGCCTCACAACCACCCACCCAGAAGCCATGACTATCTAGAACATTTCTTTAACATTGCTCTTTACACAATCTGTGTCTTCCTAGAGTTACTGACATGCAACTCCCAAACGACAAGCTTGAGACTTGCAACCAAAAAGTGGGACTCTATTACATCCACCTTAGAGACTGAACAAAATTAAAGAGAACATTTTATATTTATTTATAGGTCTCATTTTCTTAAAAGAGGAAGGTGGAGCCTGGTCAGACAAAACATTTTGTTACTTTTAACATAAATTATGAAGATAATATTTCACAAAGTAGGTAAGCTTTTGGTATCATGAATACCATCACAAGGGAAAGAATTATAAAGTATACATTTTATATAATATTTTTGTATAATATTTACTAAAATAAGCTGGAAAAAAAAAAACCCCAAAGAATGTAGACTGAACTTTGAAGGCCCAAGGTCATTAGGGGCTGAGCAGGAGGAGGCTGCCTCGGTGTGGCCCTTCCCAGAAAGCTGCACCGCTGACTTTAGTTAGGCAGTTGAAATCTGAGGGGTGCTTGAAAGGTTTGTGAGCTGAAAAAATATGTCCTCAGTTGGCTGCACATGACCTCTGGAAAAATCTGAAAACACAAATGTGCCTTCACCTTAGGCATTTTTCCTAGAATTTACTCTGTCAGAGAGCAAATAGGACGAGCTTGTTTCCATGACGTACAAGTAGGGCAGATACCCTGAGCTTAGGGTGAGGCTGAATGAGGCATCCTCTGTGTGTGGAGGGAAGACTAGGTTAGGGAGAGGCGAGATATTTA